TGGTAGCACAAGCTCATGGAGGCTTGTTTTGTAAAGTTATTTCAATCAATGATGCTGTTTCATTCCAGATTCAGCAGCTGGAAAAATACTGATATTAAAACATTTGGTCTTGCAACTTGGAAAACAAGTGATAAAGATAAAAGATGCTGGCTTGAGTAGCCCTTCTTTTGCTATATCAACCAGTGGTTCTGAAATATCATTATGGTGTTATAATCATTCTGATTTCAGTGGTTTGAATTAAAAAAAATTTTTTTGTAGAAACCAGATCGTGATGACTGGGAGAGTGGACTGACAGCCATGGAGTGTGCTTTGCATTTGGAAAAGAATGTAAATCAGTCACTACTGGATCTACACAAGCTAGCAACTGACAAAAATGACCCTCACGTAAGTCATACTTGCTCTATATAATATCTTTGGCTGGTGTTAAAAACAATGTATCTTTGACTTTCTTGTAAATTATAGGTAGTCCTTGACCACTTGACTTACCACCATAATTGACCCCCAAATTTCCATTGCTAAGCAAGATAGATAAATGAGTTTTGCCCCATTTTATGACCTTTCTTACCATAGTTATGTGAATCATTGCAGTTTTAATTTAGTAACAATTTATTAAGTGAATTTGGCTTCCCCATTGACTTTGCTTGTTGTAAAAGGTGATCACGTAACCCTGTAACTGTCATAAAATACATGCCAGTTACCAAATGTCCAAATTTTGGTTATGTGATTGCAGTGATTGTAAGTATGAAAAATGCTCATAAGTCACTTTTTTCAGTGCTGTAAGTCTGAATAGTCACTAAACAAATGGATATAAGTCAAGGACTACCTGTATTTCTTTAAATTTGCAAGTGGAAAATTATTGATTCAAATTTCACTAAAGAATTAGAATATCGAACTAATGGGTCTTCACTGTGTCCTGAGGTAATATAAATAACAGACTCAGTGTTTGCTTTCATACTTGAAAGGATCAAGTTCTACTATTTTGCTGCTCATGTATCTAGGTATATATTTTCTAGGCAAATTGGCTTTCTTTGAGATGACTGAGATGGAACTTTTAAATAGCATTGGTTGAGTTTAGTAATTCATGTTTTTTTAATTCGTGTTTTTCTTATTTGTAAAAACCTTGTACTCTAGGAAGAGAGAATAGGTTTGTAATACTGCTTTTGTCTTCTAGTTATGTGACTTCATTGAAACTCACTATTTGGATGAACAAGTTAAATCCATCAAAGAGCTGGGTGACCATGTGACCAACTTGCGCAAGATGGGAGCACCAAAATCTGGAATGGCAGAATATCTTTTTGACAAGCACACTCTGGGAGAAAGTGACAATGAGAACTAAAAACCACCCATGAATGTTGCAAAGAGACTCTTATCCTCAACACTTGTGCATGCTTCTTTGATTTATCTCTTAATATTTCCATAATTGTAAAAAATTGCTTCTGTTCTTAATGTTATAACTCACACCCAATAAAATGATTAGGTGTACTTATTTCCAGTTGTGCTGCAGTATGTTTTAAGTAAAAAAAAAAAATTAACAAAATACACAAAGCAAGCAGAGTTCCCTTATAAATAAAACGATGGCTCTAATCTTAATCCAGAAGTGAAAATGTGCTTCAGAGTGGGTGTGAATATGGTTTCTTTAAGGAGGCATTAACAATGCGCCAGATGCGAAACACCTTTTTGGTTGTGGATCCAAAGGGTAGCTCATTTTTATTAATTTGCACACTCAGCCCATGTTTGGATTCCCGGTTACAATGCTACCCATCTTTTGAGCTTCTGATTAATGTTAAGCTTGTTCTGTCAACTGTTTCAGTGGTATGGGCTGCAATTTTATAAAAGTCCCTGTTTTTATACCAAAAAATATGCAGCACAGCTTGTGCTATTATATTAGGAGTAAACATTAAAATTGATGTGGATAAGTAGATGTGGATAAGAAAGTATTAATGTCACATCCAGGTAGCTAGCTCTGTGGTTGAATCTGTAGAATCTGTATAATCCTGAGTAAGAAGTTTCCATATAAAGAGCACAAACCCACCTTCAATGGAAATTAAGTTATACCATGTGGGATACATTCTCAAATTTGGTCTACATTTTGGGTCAATGAATTTCCCAGTGCTTTGCATCACTGGAAAACTAACTAAACTTGCTGTTAGAGCAAGTTTAAGTTAAAATAAAGATGCTTACTTTAAAAGCAAATTATCTTGGGGTGTTGTACTGTTTGTAGATTTTTATATGCAGAAAAGTTTAAAACCTGTTGCCTGGATGCCCAGCAGGATTTAATAACTTATTAAAATGTTAGTATATGTGCTGCCGAAGTCATTTGAATACTGACCATGTAGTCTACATGTCACATTCATTCTTCGCTGGGTTACTAGCCATAATAAAGGAACGGGAAACTGAAAAAAAATGCTGTAGAGCAGGGGTGTCACACTGCTGGCCCATGGGCCGGTTTCATCATACTGAAGCCATGCCCACCCCATTGCCGGCAATGCAAAAAGAATTGCAATACGTCACAACTGTTTTTGAGAGGTCTGCAAGGGTGGGGCAGTTATGCAAAGCAAATCAGCCAATATTAGGCATATTTGGGTGCAGCCAGGGTTTTTATTGTGCTTGAAGATTTTGTTTTTGTTTTGTAACCAAACCTGATTAACAAACAGAAGTCTTGTACTCCGCATCAACATAAACTACTATGTTTTCTGTTAAAGAGGCTTTTGAATAGCAAGTTAAACACGACATGACACGAAGCCTCACATTGCTCATCTCTTTAGATCAAACAAAAGCTACGGAAAATTACAACCTTGGCCAACCCATATTCTGACAAGTGTTATTTGATTCTGAAACAAATTAGCTTGATTTTATAATAGCAGTAGAGACTATCTGCCATAAAATGATTCTTTTCTCCAGCATTTTTTAAAATCAAATGATTCACTTGAGATTGTCCTGTTTTACTCTATATGTCATACGTCAATATGTTTGCAGAATATTTTTGGATATAGACTTCTAAGACATTGCAAAATAGGATAAGTTCTCTTCACTATAGACTGTTCTGTTACCACAGTAGTCTGAGTATTTGGGATCTCTAACTGATGTAACTCTACCTACTCATTGCCCCCATTTGAGGTTTCTCCTATTTTCCCCAGAAAAGAAATTCAATGATCTTCAAGTTCTATTGATAGCATTGCTTTTGTGACGTGCGATGTCCCTACCTCAAGAGCATCTGAAGCCTCTTAATTCTATTCTCAGTCAATGCATTCTTTGGAATCTGGTCTATCGCATGATGAAATACCATGCAATTGGCATGCTTTGGATTGTGCTATTTACCTTGCTTGGTATCTAAAAGGAGAAACGATGTTAAGATGTTGTATTAAAAAACTAAAGACTAAGATCGAGGCTCACCCTTCACCATATTTTTAGTAGCTAATTTTAGGCCAGTCGTTTATCTAACCTCTAGGACTGTACTATGAGGATGAAATAAAGGGACAGCCCCATTCTATAAGCTTCCCTTGAGATCTTGGAGACAGGTAAAATAGAAATCTGAAAGCAAAGAAATTGTTTACAGAACAGACTTGTTCTATAGAAAAGACAATTCTCCTTTGGGCTTCATTAAACAAGGACAATGAAAGTCCTCAAGTCTGAGATGCGTTTGTTTTATTCCACAACCTGTTAGGCCAGTTTTCCACTCGAATGGTCGACCATAGTTCCTATCGTCCCTAGCCAGCATGGGCAGGGGAAACAAAATATATCACATCTGAAGAGCACAAAGTTAAAGGAGATTGTATTAGACCAAAAAGAAGGATAAGCAAAGATTTGAATGTTGGAAACTTTTTCACTTGGTCTGTAGAGAATTAGAAAGCCCCTTTCCAGGTTTCTAACATGGCAAATGCAGCCACTGATGTAATGGTTAAGACAGCCCACTAGAAACCAGGAGACAATAGACACAAAACCAGTCGGATGAAGGTGGGCTGGTGATTGTCTCAGCCCTAAAAAAGACACACACACACACGCACACGCACGCACACACACGCAGGTTATATCTATTAATGGCACAATCAGATTGAACCTATTGTCTGCTTTCAATCTGGGCAGTTTATATTAGGAGGAACTGAAACCTTTTCTTCAGTTAGTTTCAGTTGTTACTGTCACCTGCTTTTTACCAATAGATTATAAACAATTGTGCATGAAAAACATTCAAAAATGATTTTTTCTTGCTAATTCTTTGCCCCCCCCCCCAAAGTACAATGTAATATCTATTTGGTATATTTAGGAGCCGTGGTGGCGCAGTGGTTATATACCATATTGCAGGCAAATTCAGCTCACTGCCAGGAGTTCAATCCTCAAGGTTGACTCAGCCTTTCATCTTTCCGAGATTGGTAAAATGAGGACCCAGATTATTGGGGGCAATATGCTGATTGTAAACCCTTTAGACAGGGCTGTAAAACACTGTGAAGCAGTATATGTCTAAATGCTAAGTATCTAAAGTGAACAAGCTGTGCCAGACAACCCCGCTATTTTGCTTTCTACCATTGATCTAGACAGCCCAATGTAAACCATTTAAACTTTACCAGAGAAAAAGCTTCCAATTGTCCACTTATCCATTTATTTTCAAGTTCTCTTATACAAGCAGAACAACATTCCTCAAACTGTTGAAACACTGACCTTTTTTTAACGTTTTGAAACTAGTATTTTCCAATTGGCCTGCAATAGGCATCTTATTTGCTAGAGGGACCTAATAATATTGTACTCTGTAATTATTGTCAATTATTCTCCATATCCTAGATCAGTGGTTCTCAACCTTTTTAATGCCGCGACCCCCAACCGGTCGTAAGTCAAGGACTACTCAACTGGTGCAGCACCGTTTGCAGAATGGGACTTTTGGCGGGCTCAGCAGGGCAGAGACAGCCTGGACAATTCCTATTGGCTTTTGAAAGCCAATAGAATTAGACTCTATTCAAGAGAGTCTATTCTATTGGCTTTCAAAAGCCAATAGAATAAAAGGGAGTAGCACAGCTAAGGAAAAGGGGGAAAATGGCAGACTGCGTTGTTTGGCGACCCCCGTGAAATGGTCATTCGACCCCAAATGGGGTCCCGACCCACAGGTTGAGAACCACTGTCCTACATCTTTGTAATGAAATCCCTCTAGGATCTAATAAACATAGTTTACTAAGTGGGCCGGTAATATTCACAAGAAAAAATATCCCCTTTGTAAGTATGATATTTGGAGGATGGGGAAAAGAAGTCACTGCGTCCTTGGGCAATGATCATACAACTAGGTATATGTTTTATCCCAGTTAAATTGTTTCTCCTTGGAGTGGGATGTGCATTTGCAACACTGGCTGCAAGGTCCCATTCTTTGGTACTTTCAGACAAAATAGCAAACAAAAGATTAAATGTGGAACTAAAGTAACTCTGCTGAAATTAGAATTATTTTCTTAGTTGTGTGATGCGGAAATTCTATGAGTGGCCCTTAACCTCCTTGTTAGTGGAAGTTAAATCCATAAAAGCCAATGCATTTATGGATTGAGCTGTCCAGCCTAACACTGATTTCCACTTGTTTTGTAGTCTGTAGTGTGGGCTTTCGCTACCATTAAAAAGTTGAATAATAATGTTCAAAAATAATAAAAAAATCTCTCCTACCGCATCGACATGAAAAGACTCTGAGCCTACTTAATTGAACTGTCCCTTCTCTCCCTTCCCTTCATCACTTGTGTTCTCACTTATTTCCATGATCACTTCCATTAATCCCACAAAGTCTCTTTCTGCTAGAGAGATGCCAGAGTCATTAGGAGAAGAGCTGGTGGTCTTTCTCTGTTCCTCAGTGTAATAAATACTTCCTGGGTTGTTTGCAGCTTCAGAAACAGCTGAGCTATCTTGCTTTGTAACTCCAGGAGAAGCTTCTGAACCAGGGACAACAGCAGCATTTCCTTTGCTCCAGTGAGATGGCTCAAGCCCCGGGGGAGTCAAAGAAGTGAAGGGAAAGAAAGTAGCAGGGCCATTGCTATTAGGAGTCTTGATATTATGGGTATAAAGGAAACTGGAATGGTCTGGAGAAGCACTATCTGGAAGTTGCTGGTGGGTTTTCAGGTTATTCAAGCTTTTTACACTGGTTTGTATCTCAGGGCCCATGCACTCCACGAAAGGGAACTTGGTACTTACAGAGTCCCCTGAGGACAAAGGTTCTTCCGGGCTTCCGAGAGGAGATGTTTCTTTTGACCAACTTTTATTTTTTGTGTCTTCTTTAACTGACATCATTAATGAATCTGAAACATGGCTTTTTTCAGCTGGCCACGGAAAAGACTCCTTTGATTTTGAGCCAACCAAGTTCTCACTTCTATCCAGATCACTGGCTTTGCAAGGAGACTGGCTGGTAGTATTATCCTTCAGAAAAGTGGGACAAGCAGCAATATTGGAGAGAGCAGGAGGTTTTTTTCGGTTTTGACGGTGGGATGGCAGGATCACTGGGACTGAGCTGATGGGTGTCTGAGGAGCACTGTAGAATCCAGGTCTTTCATAGAAAGGGCTTGATGTGAAAGCATCAAATTCTCTCAGTTTACTGGCAGCAGTGTCCCACTGATCTTGAGAACTGAGGCCTAATGGGGAGCTGTCTCCCCTTAGCTGGTTAATACTTTGGAGGTTCCCAGGCTTAACTCCATCCATGTAAGCATAATAAGGAGAAGGAGAGACATTTTCATTCCTCCGACGTATCAGGCTCATTCTTGGTGATCTGGTAAAACTGGGGGACTGTGCATTCAGGAAGCGGCTTATGTGCCCCAACAATGGTGTTGAGTAGTTTGCTTCCTCATTCTCTTTGATCTTTTCCAGGGGTTGGAATTCCATCTCTTCTTTCTGCATGCTGGAGAAAGGAAACAGCTAGTAGAATACAGTGATGTGTTGAAAAAGAGAACTGAAACCAAAAGTTTGCAGTGGAGACTTTGGGAAGGAGAAGGGTGCAGCTGGGATACTGAACTTGATATGACAGAGATAATAACACTTTTCATTCAAGGCAGGGGAAGTGACAGGTGCAAGCATAAATCCCAAGAATCATTCCAATACTTCAGATTTCTCCATACACTTCCGTTTACTGAACCATTGACTCCAATGATCAAATAGAAAGAAGGAAAGAAAATGATATTGACAAAAATACACCCAGGAATGGGAAGGGAATGTTACATGAACATTCTGTTCCCAACCTTCTTAAAATCCTTCAAAGGCCGTGGTGATTCTCAGTACACCATCTCTAGGTTCAGTGATCCACCTGTCCTTCAGCATTGGCCATGTAGCTTAAAGAGTCCACCTCTTTCTCAAGGCAGTTGCTTTACTTACCCTTCCCTATTATTGTTCCTTGTTGCTTACCCCTCCCTATTATTACTCCTTGTTGTTTATCATACTGAGAGCCAATGAGGAAAATCAGCTGAATGCAGCTCCTCCTTCTCCTTCTCTTCTTCCTCTTTCTCTTCCTCCTGTCATTGCTGTTCCCTTTACACCTTCCTCTTAGAGAGGAGAATGACAAGGGAGAAAATAGGGGAATAAGTGAGGACCAATACTCAGGAGGAGGAAGAGGACGAAGCAGGCCCAAGAAGCTCACAAATGTGCCTATCTGTGTCAACTCCTCAGGCCAATTCTGTCTGTGCCTGTTGATGTTAATACGCCAACATTCATCATTCTTGATTGCCTAAGATATTTTGGCAGAGCAACAAGGTGCTCTCAAACTTAAGAGTGTGTCTATGTGCATCACTGTGTATTTATGTGACCCCCTACATTTTTATTACTAAGAAATTCTAAGGGTTTTCCAGTTGTTAAAATCCATGCAATATAAAACTAATACCATCAAATGCATAGAACAATACTTTACATTTTATCAAAGTGTCAAAAAAAGAGTCAAATGACAAATGTCTATGGAGAATCTCCATCATCCAAATCATGGTTGTCCCAAAGGTGCTTTTTTTTTCCCCCCCTGAAAAGGCAACTGGAGTTTCTTGGGTTTTTTTCTTTGAAAATGTTTCACTTCTCATTCAAGAAACTTCAGAACTAAAGAATAAAATGCAGAACACTTAAAAAAAAACAACCCAAGAAAGTCCAGTTGCCCTTTGGAAAGCACCTTTGGGACAGTCAAATGACAAATGAGCACATTTAGTGTGCATGGGATTATTTCTGATTATTGAGGTTAGGGAAGGAGAAGAAGCAATAATATCCAGGCTTGGCATGACTGGTTGAAGCCCTAAACAGACCCAATCCAAACTGCAGAGCTGTGTGTAAGTCCTTTTACAACAGTAGAGAGGCAAGTACATTTATTGAGTCATGATGTTCCACGGCAAAAGCCCACTGCAGATGCATATTCTATGACACAAAAGGGATCCCTGTGGTTATTTTCTGTAGCTTCACTTGCCTGATATCGAAAGTTGATCCAAGGAATGATGTCCTCTTACATTCTGCTGTTGCTGCAGTATAAGGGGGCTGGGGGTCTGATTCATTCCAATATGGATCCTTCTGCAGTGTTGGTAAGTCCTGGTGCATTTCATCCACAGCCATAAGAGAGACCTGCCAGGATATGGTACACTATCTCAGCCACAGTAGGTGAAGGTGTTCTTTATTTCTCCATTTCTGAAAAAGCAGCCATCTCTAATAATTTAGGGATAGCTGCAATTTAAGGAACAATTATGGACTTGCTTTCTGCCATTTAGTAACTGGATAGCTTATGATAATGGTGTTCTGCACGAAGATAAGAATGAATCATGACTTGATAAGGCCTCAAGCCACAAACTGGCACAAAACTAAGAGGCTTTTTAAACCTCCAAAGTTCAGTTCATGGCTAGTTGTTTTATAAACTGTGCAGCTCTTTCTAACAGTTAGATGGTTGGAATTAGTCCTTTTGCATGCAGAAAAAAATATGACTTCATGAATGACAAGAATGAGTAATAGGCAAGAAAGAATGAATGAAGACTGGACAACCATTTGTCTAAAATGGTATGAAATGGTATAGGATCTCCTGCTTGAGCAAGGGGTTGGACTAGATGACCTCCAAGGTTCCTTCCAACTTTGTCATTCTGTTAATGCTTGGTCAGAACTCTGTATGAGAGTTCTTGTGTTTGAATTTCAAGTTTTCAGAAATCACCCACCCACAGAAAGCAAGTAAAAGAATATATGTTGAAAATTACTATATGTAAAAGATGAAAATACAGGTTTTTAGTAGCTGATTTTAGGCCAGTCACTAACAGACTAACACTAAACCTGTAGTGTTATATGTAATATGCTCAAAGGAGAGGAATTTAACATAAAACTTTTCAAAGCCACATTTCCTTTGAATATTAGACATCTATTGCATCGCTGAGAAACAGATAAATTAACTTCTCTTTTGTGCTATAATTTCTTCATCTAAAGTTGTATTTCATGAACTACAGAAATTTTTTGAGACATCTCAAAGAGGACATATTCTAAGCCCTTCACCTCACCTGCAGATTCCTATCAATAAGCCAGTTGGTTTCAAAATCGTCATCATCCTCCCCAAATGGATTGATGAGCTGTTCTGCTACCTGTGAAATGGGAATAAGGAAAATATCAGAAAAATATCAGTGGTGGTCCAGCAAAATACACTGCACTCTTACATTTAAAGTGTCATTACATGTTAGTGGAAAAAGGAGTAAGATTAATAGAGTAGAGTGAACTAAGACTCTTAGAAAAGGAAGCAACAATATATTTGTATTTATTAAAGAAGACCTTGCAGATTTTCTGTCTTCATCATTTTTTTTTTATCAGTCTCACTTTGAGTTTAGGAACTGCCTGGAAAAAACATTACTGGGGCTAAGGATTGCTGGGGTAAAAGAAGAGTAGATGAGGAGGTTATATCACCCTCCTTCCACCATCTACTTCATAGGATATAAAAAGGAATACCTGTACCACCTTTACATGTTATTTGAATCTCATTAGAATTTTGAATTGGTTCTGCCTAATGCAGAACATATTTTTGGCTTGAAATTCAAGAATCAACTCCAGAATATTATCCCAACAAACTGAAATTCCCTGGGGGAGGACAATCTCAGGTTAAACTGACCTTTAGCCAGCCAGCATAGAAGAAAAACTGCAAGAATGTGAAAATGGGCACATAGAGGTCCATTTCGTGGCCAGGGTACTCTTTGGCTGGATCCAGGAACTGCCGACCAATTAAACATGCAAGGAAAAAGCTGTAAACAGCTACTGTGACAACCTTGGAGAAAGAAACATTGTTAAGATCTCTTGAAGCACCTTGATTAGGATAGATTTCTCCGGAGGAGCAATATTGAAATAGAACTCTTTCCAAATTATGCTTCTATGGGAGCAGAAATACTATCATCTATATCAGGGGTGGGCAATTAAGGTCCCGGTATGGCTCAAGAATTCTGGGAGTTGAAGTCCACAGGTCGTAAAGAGGCCATAGTTGTCCATCCCTGATCTACACTCAAGTCACTAGTCACAACCATTCAATATCCTCAACAAGTACAGCTTCTCACATCTCTTTTGTTGTTTGTGGTTTTACAAAAGTCCTAACGCCTCTGAGTCACAGATGTCTAAAGGTCTGTTGCAAGCCACATGACATAAGTCTCATTTTTGCTTATATAAACCATGTTCATTTAAACTCAGTTCATGAAACATTTTCCCAATATAAGCTTTGCCTACTTTCTGCAGTATCTTAGGGTATATTTCATTCCATTTACAAGCTTAAATTTATATCTTCCTGTGTTTGCCTGGTTCACTCCCTTTCTTGATGGGGAAATAAAGATCTTTCTTGGTACAGTTAGGACTACTAAAGTAATAAAATGAAATAGAATTGTTCTCTGGAGGAAAAAATATTCTTTGGAAAGCAATAAAGATTTTCAAGAGCTACATCCCATTTCATGGGGAAGTTTTCTTCTTAATCCAGACTTTAAAATACACTACAGTTTGTACACTACTCTTTCTATATTTTCACATTCCAGATGGCACATTCCTAGGGCTATCATTGTTAATATTCCATATAAATTCTACATCATAGACAATCTGTTTTGGTTTTTAAGGCCAGTTTGGTCTAGTGATTAAAGCACTTGGTTAGAGACCACGAGTTCAAATCCCACCTTAGCCAAGAGTCCACCTTATCCATGAAAGTCAGCTGGTAACCCACCTCACAGGGTTGTTTTTGTGGAGAAAATGGGAGGAGGAAGGTATGCTGGATATGTTTGCTAACTTGAGTTATTTATAAAAATAATATAGGTCAGGATGAAGTAACATGCATGGAGCTTCAAACCACCCACTGTGGTACTAGGTCCCTAGAACAGAATAGAGCTGGAAGGGACCTTGGAGGTCTTCTAGTCTTTTGTGTGAAGACTGATGCCAAAAATGAGTTGAACAGCTCTGCTTTCTCCCTTCTGCCTGTTATTTCCTTGCCATCTTCTCTCTTTAGTGGACCTACAGTTTCCTTGACTTTCTTCTTGTTATTAATATGTTGAAAGAAACTTTTTTTATTATCCTTGATTTCTGTTACAACTCTTTGTTCATTCTGAGCCTTTACTTTCCTGACTTCAACTTTGCATGTTCTGGCTGTCTGCTGATAATCAGCCTTAGTTTTTTTTTTTTTCCATTTTTTGTACTTGTCCTTTTTGTCATTCAGTTTGTCAGAGAGATCTTTGCAGCATGCTGGTTTCTTCTTGAATTTCTTGTTTTTCTTTTTCAGTGATATTGTGCTGGACTGGGTTTTTATGATCACATTTTTCAGAGTTTCCCGTGCTTCTTGAGTTGTTTTCCCCTTTAGGATTTTCATCCTAAAGGGGAATCTTTCGTAGGTTCTCTCCGAGTTTGTTAAAATCAGCTCTTTTGAAGTTTAAGACACTGGTTGGATTATTTTCTATTGCTTGTGTTTGCATTGAATTCCAGTATGATGTGGTAACTTTCACCCAACGTTCTGGCAACTTCAACTCCCTCTGTCACTTCTTTTCTATTAGTAAGAATTAGGTCCAGTATAGCTTTACTTCTACTTCCCTCCTCCACCTTTTGGATGACAAAGTTGTCGGCAGGTTGGTTAGGAATTTGTTGCAGAGTTTGTCTCCCAGTTGATATCTGGATAGTTGAAGTCTCCCATTACCAGTGTGGTATGCTTCCTACATACATTTGTTAACTGGCAATTGTTTACATTTCTTAACACAAAGATACATTTGAACTTCTAGAAGATAATATATGGGTTGAACTGTGGAGTCCTTGATTGTTTGATTGCAGACATTTTATTACCCATTCTATTGCAGTCTAGAAGATCTCCACAATTTGAACCTCGACTAGAAGCTGCATGTGCACAACTATGTGCAATCTCTTTTATAAAAAAAAATGTACCAACTTAAACTCAAATGCCATCCTGAAACAAGAGATTATTTGTGGACCACTAGAAACAAAACCATTATTTGGAGTTTGTGCTAGTAAAATGTGCCAAAAACTTATTATTGTTCTATATTGCACTTAAAGACTTGTTAACTAAGGCTGCCTTGTTGCCTGTTGTCTGTTTCTTTAAGCAGATAGCTTAAAGCAGCAGTTTCTGCTGTTTTACTTTTTATTCTGCGTGAAAAAGAAAACAGGATTCCAGGGGCACAGACCCCAGCCAGTGAGAAAAAGGTATAAACAAAGGGATAGAGGTGAAATGGGCAGAAGAAGCAAGTGCTTATATTCAAATGAATATGAATGTAAAGCTGTCATGCAAGATGCAAGCTGCCTTTTATCCACTCTACTCAATTTTGTTCTAGCAACAAAGACTCTCCAGAAGTGGTGTGGCTTCCATAAACGCTGTGACTTGCTGTGACCAAATTTCTAAATTCCCATGGACATCAGAGCTTGGTTTCATCTACTTTGGATTTGATCTGCAGGAGACCTAGCTGTGCTGAGTTTGAATTTCCCACTATACTTATTGGTCCACAAGGAATGGATTCTACTTCCAACACATAGCAGAGTCTAACGAAGTTCATTTATCTAACAATAGGCTGGGATTTGGGTGGAGGTGAACAACTCATCTGCCTGGTGCCTGAAGAAGATAAAAGCATGCTCTGCATGCAGGCTGTTATCATTAAAGGCCATAGAATGTTTGCCAATAGCTGAGAAACGGCTCTTAAGACTCCCAAAAAAAAAAAAAAAAAAAAGCATGACCCGTTGGAAAGTCATGCAAAGCTCCCTGTTTTTCCTATGGAAAACATAGATACAGAAAAAAGCGGGCTTGCTTTGTGAAGTTGGTGCATAGCACACATGTAACCATGTTGACTTAAATACATAGTGGTCATTTCCCATTTGCTCTTAACTGTGGCACAAACATGCTTTAACAATACAGTTTATTTTTCTGCTCAAACTTCCTGATATTTATCCCATCCCCAACCCATAACTGAAGCTGCTTTAGGGATATCCTTAGTGTTAAAGTAGTTCTTATTCATCACTATTCAAGCATATTTCAAAATGTTAGGCTTTATATCCTTTCCCTTGAAAGGCAGTCAGCTGAGTAGCAGTGATCAGAAACAGAGGCAAATACAAGCAATGGGAACAAGCCATGGGATCTGTAATGGGAACAGAACATTTCATATGAAACTTGTATGCTGCCCGACTCTCAATAATTCTGAGTGGCTGGGTTAAGAAACAAGTCTTCAAGGCCCTTCTAAACAACAGCAGAATGGAGACCATCTGGGGGGGGGGAACCTTGTCTTAGAAGGCAGGTGCTACTACAGATGACATTGTTTAATTAAAAGTATCTGGAACACACCAACCCTATTAGATAGCAGCTCAGCTAAGCTGTAAGAAAGGCTTAATATGAAGCACCTATGAGATCTATTTCCTTACCACATAAATGGGATGCAATTCTGGCTACAGTCAGACAAAAATATAAGTTGAAGTACAATTCTCACCTGTGTGTAGACCAAGGGAATACTAATCCAATCATATCCATAAAGACGCCCACACTGGGTACGCAATGTGTTCATTTCCTGTTGGAAGGAAAGAAAAGTACCATTAGAGGAAGTAAAGTTTCACCGTAGGACTTTCAGTTCAGGTTTTCAGTGTGTATTTTGTTGTCCATGTCTCTGTCATCAATCTTTGAAGAGTTACTAAAGTGTTTTTATTTAGACTAGGGTGTTTTGTTGCTAGGAGAGTACAACAGTAAGCACAGTCAACAGTCTTGTTCCACAAGTAGTAGAATTGTAACAACTTGAAAACTTCTCTACATTAATCTTCCACCTTCCTTTGCACTCTTCCTCTCTGATTCTAGGTTTCCTGTTATGCTACCCATTTTGGATTGTGTACAACAGTTTCTCAACCTCAGCAGCTTTAAGGTGTGTAGTCTTAACTCCCAGAATTTCCTAGCCAGCATCAGTTATACTGCCTGAGGAATTCTGGGAATTGAAGTTCACACATTTTAAAGTTGTTGATATCTTGACTGAAGTTGAGAAACACTGATCTACCATGATCAGTGATCTACCATGATCTACCTTTTCCACCATGGTGTTATCAAGATATTAGCTCCTCCACAGCTTATAGTTAGCAGGCCCAATTGCTGAAATGACGAATATTGCAATATGAGAGAGATCTAGAGAGAGATCTAGATTTAATGGAGATTCAGAACTTTTCCTTAAACCAAATATGTCTTTTCCCAGGAGTGAATTGCAGTTTCTGTGAACACAGAAAAAGATGCAGTTTCTCTAAGGAATCACTGGCAATTGCTCTGTCAGTGCCCACAAATGAACCAAATTACCTTTTTCCTTCAAAATCTAAATTGCCATACAGCCCTATCTGTTAATAGGCCTCTAGCATGGACAAAGCTGAACTATAACAGCTGTTTTTCTAGAGTTTCTCCTCTGCTAAGAGACTAAAATGTTAGTTAATGAATTCAAAGCAGGACACATGCAATATATATATATATCTAACTCACATTCAAAATGCCTTGGAGGAGTACACTGTCACGGATTCGCCCATCATTACGTGCCTTCACTGCCAAGTTTGAGAACCAGACACATGGGATCCAAAACTTGTTATGGGCTGAATTTAAACTCTCAAACTTCTTGTGCTCTTCTGGTGTCATCAGGCCTACACAGATGGAAAGAGGTGATAGAAATTTACTGTAGGAAATGCATGGAGGACATTTATTTCCTACAAGCTTAATTCCTACTAACTATATCCTTTCAAGTGAGAATCAAGAGAGCAATTCTGCTTGAGAAACAGTCAGGAAGAAGTTTGAAAGCTCACGAACGAAGTGCAGTAAGAGCTAAAGAAGGCACACAGAGGAAATTCTAAACTATCTATTTATACCCCAATCCATCTAAGTGGGTGGTAGATTTTGAGGTACTGAGAGTTAGTACAACTAAAGTAATACTTGCAATATCACTTCCAAGCTCTTGTATTCATCTACTACTCCCATCATCTCTCAAAGTGGTCTGAGTCAATCTCTGAACAAAAGCTTAATAAATTCATCTGCCATCATCTCTGCCAATGGGTATTTCAGATCCACAAGTCCCCTTTCTTGTGTGTTGCATGTGTGCCTTTGTGCTTTGTCCTGGATGTATTTATGTTCATTATGAATACATTCCTTATTGTGTTCAGACAACACTGTTGGCTTTGGCTCATCTACTTCATAGCCCATTAATAATGTATGTAGCCACACAGTTTCTTATCACACTTGTGTAGCTGCTTTTGTGGAAAACAGATCATCTGCTGACTGCTTTCGGCTTGGCCAACTAATTGGCCTCTTTCCACTGAGGAGCAATTATCCAGTTATAAACTCACAGTCTGCTCTGCCTCTTGTTCTCTTTGCATCCATGTAGTCTATTAGTTGGCTCAGCTGGTAAGCTGGGTATGCTGTGTCCTTGGGTACCTGCTGTTGAAGTTATAAAGAGCTACTTCACTAGAACCTTGCTCAGATCAAGTTCAGATTCACCAGGAAGATACAGATCACTTCTTCCAGCAAAAATTAATACTATAATCTGGACAGATGCAGAACCTTTTTTTGACAATGAATATAGAGAGCAGAATTCTCTATCTTCTACTGATTTCTGTTCTTATAACAACAAGTTGTTCACAATTTGAGCCTTAATTTTTTTGTATTGTACTTGTAATTGGCATTTAATTGATTTTATGATTGTTCATCACCCAGAGTAATTTGTTTGAGATGGATGGTTATAGAAATTGAATAAATAAATGTGTATGAAACAGAGAATATTGACAATTCAATGCTTAGTCAAACTATGACCTTTCATTTTGAAAAAGGTTGCTGACATCATTCTAAGATGTTTTAGGTATCTTTGAAAATTCTAATGGTATGTTTATATGTTGATTTTATTGTTGTAGGGTAATGAGACTGGGTGATTTGTTTATCTCTTCATTCATCTGTCAACTATAGTTAATCATATTTCCCGATCTTACAAAGTCTCATGGGAGGAGTTTTCTAATGTTAACTTTCTTTGGGATATAATTGAAGACATCAATCTACTAGATAGGTGATAATCAGTGAAAAACAAAATATTTGTACACATCCCTTGTACATCTTTTAAGCACAGCAGTCTCACTCTAGAATAATTTCACTGAATGTTTTCCTTTCTTGTAATAAAAAATTGTAAATGCTTTTTCCAATCTAAAATCAAAATAAATGTTCACCAAACCCCCACTAGATTAGCTTTGTAATCTAATTGCAAGATTGCAATTAGACTATTAGTTTGATAATTTGATTCATTCTATTATACCACAATAAGATAGATCTGTTTGTTTTGGCTTAGCAAGATATATGAATCCAGCTACTATGGCTTGTAAATTAATAGTTTATGATTTAGTATTATATATGAACCAGATCACTATAAATTGTTCAACAATCTCTAGTTAAAACAAATAGCTACGTTCTGTTGCTTCAGGCTGCACGGTTTTGAACAGCTCACGATCTGCTAGTGGGCAGTGGCCTGGGGACCCCAGTATCATGCTCTTGTGCACTATTGGAAAATTAATTATTTTTAAAAAATAAATATTTCTAAGCCAAAGAATGGGGGATCACAGCAAGGGAAAATAAAAGGCAGAAGTAGAGTGAAGAATGGCCACTAGATAGTGCCCCAGTACTACAAATTGTATTGGAGAAAGACACAAATATAGAGAGAATTAATTTCTTTCGGTTGTTAATCTGATGCTCATGTATCCATCTTTACTGGGGCTGTGCTGATCTTTCCACAAATGCTTCACTTCATTGGAATTCATGAGACCAGAAAGTTCAACTAAATTCCCATTCTGACAATGAAGCAGAGAAGTAGATTTGTTCCCCTGCTTATAAAGTGTTTATGAAGTTAAGCAGCCAAGTGAAACAGGTTATACCTCCTGAGGCAGAACAACTCGCTTTGTAAATTATAGCTCTTCTGAAAGACCTTTCATACATAGGTCTCATGCCTAGGGGGACTACAAAACTGTTTTGTGGTGGATCTGCTTATTATTAAAATAGTATAGCAACATTCTTTATTTGAAGATACTTCTGACTGTTGGGTGCAACTTTTAGATTTAGCTGGGAAGTCACTGTATATAGTTAAGTATAAGTTTGCAGGGGACTCAACAACTAAGGTTATTCAATTTTTTTAAAGACAACTTCAGATTTATGAAGAAAGAAAAGTTACTATTCTGTGGGGAGGAATTAAAAAGATGGAGACGGAAAAACAAAGATAGTGGTGCCATCAAGCAAAGATTTGGGGACTGAAAGCCAAAGCACCTTTCTGCAGAGTAACTGGGAGAGGCTCAAACCAGCAGGGCCTGCCAAACAGAAAATAAAAAGTCAATTGAAGAAACCCCCTCCTGAAATCATTAGGTTTGCTCAGACTAAGGCCAGTTCTAGATAGTTCTGAGAGCCTGCTAGTTTCCCAAGGAGGCAGGCAGTAAGCTTTCAGCTGAGAAATAAAAGCAAGAAGGGCCATGGAAAGGCACCAGCTTTATGGAACTATGGTGAAAATGGAGCAATCTACAGTATTAATTGGAATGGAAGCTGCATTGGAGAGCCAACCCCTCTAGGACACGTCAGGGATAGGTCAAAGCACAACACTTGAACTGAATTCATAGGGTGTGATTTTTCCATATCTCCCACCTGTGCAAATAATCACTTCTGGGGGAGGGGGGAGGGGGAGAACATTTTTCAATATATGAATTGGATATGAGTCCAAGAGATTTTTTTCCCATGGACAATGCAGAGCTTAAGATGAGTAGTTTTAGGTTACGCCTCAACACCTGTTTACACAAAACCTATATAGTTGGAAGGAGGGACTTAAGCCATCAGGTCTAACTAACTATTCTTATTCAGAATTAGCTACAGAGAATTCAATTTGATTAATCTCCCAGAATAGAAATATTGGACTGCAGTGGTAGCATTTCTTTGATTGATTTATGAATAATGTTTTCATAAAGCTCTTCAGTGCAAACTTTTACGGTCACTCTCAGAACAATAAAAACACACAGTAACAGAATGAGGAAAAAAATGTAAATATTAGAACAACAGACAAAGCCAACAGATAGTTTGCTGGTGTTATTTCACTGGCCCTGTTAGCCACATAGACTGCCAGTAAGGTTTTGGTTTGGTTATCATAGAAAGCTGCTGCTGGTTTTCCTCCCCGTGGTGATTGATTGCAGACATTCCTGACATAAAATGTTCTCTTGGCTGAAAAAAGCTGTCTTTAGATACCCCAGAATGGCCTCCATGATATCCATCAGCCTTTGAGCTGATACGCTAATCCAGGGGTAGTCAACCTTGGCTCTTTTATGACTCGTGGACTTCAACTCCCAGAATTCCTGAGCCAGCTAAGCTGGCTCAGGAATTCTGGGAATTGAAGTCCACGAGTCATAAAAGAGCCATGGTTGACTACCCCTGCGCTAATCCTTTGGTCAGTGCATGGCTTTGCTGCTTAAACAACCTCTTAAAACACCCTCCAACTTTCACACTTGCCTTTAGATCTAGGGATGAAGCAATACATCCACCTAATTATGTGTTACTGGATTACAAGATTCCTTGTTCGAAGGTTGTCTGAAGTTGTCTGAAGATTGTATAATTGCAGCTGGACTAATTTTTAGTTTCAGAGACATTTCACTGCCCATACAGGCAGCTTCTTCAGTCAGAGCAAAGCAGAGAATTAGGCAGAGACTTGTTGGAATATACCAACTCCTGCCACACCAACCCCAGGGGATTCTTCCCCAAAATGTGTTGCAAAATGTTGATGAGGATTCTCAATCATCCAGGCAGAGTTGTCTGAAAGTTGAATCATATCAGCTGGACTAATTTTTAGTTTCAGAGAGGTTTGAATACCCTGAGGTTGGTGTGGTAGGAGTTGGTACATTCCAACGAATCTGCCTAACTCTCTGCCTTGCGCTGACTGAGGAAGTGAAACATCTCTGGAACTAAAAATTAGTCCAGCGCAATGATTCAACCTTCAGACAACTTCAGACAATCTTTAGACATCTCTGCCTGGATGACTGAGAATCTTCATTGAGAAAAAATTCTTTGTCAAATCTAGAATCTGATTTCACAACTAAATGGATCTTATTCTAATTACTTCGGTTGTTTTTTAAAATAGTAATGTAGGACAGAAACAGTCAAGCCTGTAAAGAGATTATCATGGAAAAGACTGTTTACCAAATAATTATACAGAGCCAGTTTGTGAAGTGGTTAACGTATTAATTTAGAAAGTGGGAGACCCTGACTTCCAGTTTCACCTTAGGCACACAGCTGATAGGTGACCTCTAGGAAGGAGGCAATGGCAAACCACTTATGAAAAACCTTGCCAAAAAAATTGTCCAGGCAATCTCTGACAATCAGACACAATTGGATGGAGGAAAATAAATAAATAAAATAACCTAAAGGAAGCCAAAAGGGCTGGAGTCTTAATGATCTGGGAAAGCTGCTTGGCATAATCCTTCTGAAAAGAATGCCTTTACACAATTGGTGATCATTCAAGTCTGCCTAGCCCTCCGCATTTGATTGAGTATATCACTCAGTACTGCAGTAAGATTAATGGCTATCCAGAGGATTATCTATGTGGGGATGTGGCTAGAACCTTGGTTTTGACAAAGGAATTTTAAGCACTTGGATTTTTAAATGATAGTATTCAATAGAGGATGACTGTTATAAATATCACAGGAACTCAGTAATATTCTCCCAAAGAAAATCAAACCCAGTTACTTATGACCTGAGATTCGCTGTAAGCAACAGCTGCAACGGTTCCAAATCACTGAACCCACCAATTGCATAGATTGAATGACATACTGAGAGGCAGTGGTAGGAAAGGGCTACCAGGAAAAGATCGTTTTAGATTGTTGGTCCTATAAATTATTGAGTAGCCTTATTTGGCAAGCATTATCCTTCTTTCTTCCTAAGCTATTTTGTAGAATGAAATTGATAAAGAGAGAAAACTATATACTGTATGAAGCTGTGAATCCTTTGGAGAAAAGGCAAGTAGGACAGAACTGTAATTAATAAACATTATTTATTCTTACTATATGCATCTTGGTAAGCCATTTTCCTCTAACCTTGTATCCCCAGAGGTATTGGAATATAACTTCCATCATCTCCTCCTAGAAGGTCTGGCATGAGTTAGTCTATTATATCTGAAGGACTTACTATTGGAAATAGTTCAATCAACTTTAGAGCTCCCAGAAGTATCATTAGAAGGTGTACCAACTTCCATGGCATTTTATTCTAGCTAGTTAGCCCCTGCTGAGTTGTCTTGGCAATGCCTACCTGCTGTCACTATATGTTCCATGCTGGGAAATCGCTTGAAGACTGCAGTGCTGACTGAACGCAAGATCAGCACACTCAGTAGATTAATGTAGCGCATCAGTGTGCGTCGCAGAAGACGCCCATACTCATCCTTCCCATCCACGCCACTTGAAACCAGATTCATAATGCGGTCAGGCCATGGGATATTTTCGTACTGTCCCCACCAGCGAGATACCACTAAAGTTACATAAAAGCCTAGAAAGGAACAAGGACAGCAAGGCACAGCTCAAAATCAGCCAGTTATCTGTGGACACAATCCAATTTTTTTGTATCTAATTGTCCAGAAAATATATACTTTTCTAACAAAACAGAGGCTTTGATGAAAACCCCAACTTGATTTTCAGAATATATAATAGTGATCAAAATTATCATCCTAAATCATTTGTGTTGGGAAAAATAATTGTCTGAATGGCAGAATGGAGTCAGTAATGCTTCGATTAAACTCTTGCTGAGAACCATCCTTGATTTTTCAACCTTTTGATCACCTGAAAATAAAAATACTAGTCATAAATAAAGAGGCACTGCAAAATTGCCTTGCATTAATATTCTGCAATAGGGAAAGGTTTGTAAATCATTACACATACTGGTACTATAAATTTAAAATAGGCATAATAGTATAATTCATCTTTCCCCGACATTTCCTAGTTCTTGTGATCTTTTTTGAAAGAGCAGTAAAACTAAGGAGCTACACTATATTTTGGGGGGAAAGCAAAAAAAAAAAAAAATAATGGAAAAAGAAAACAGTAACCTGCTTCCATAATATTACCAATATAAAAATGAAGAATCTGTCCTTGATGTCATCAGAAAGAGAACTCAACACAAATGACTTTATCTTTTAATCTCTATTTTGCCTCTGATAAGAATGAAGTGAATTATACCCACTGGAGAGAATGGACTATAAATAAGGTTAGAGACAACCAGTTCAACTGGACTTTGGTTTAATGGGTTTCATTAATTAATTAATACTTCATTTCTAAAATATCACAAAGAAAATCAGAAACACCATTTGGATTTCTGCCCTAAACATTAAGATTAGTGTTAGCACTTGTTGTAGACAAATCAGTTAACTATAGGGAGACTTCACCATTCACAGCATTTGTCTCACATTTTTGCAACCTTACCTAACACAAAAGACACAGGAATCAATTCAGCATAGCTATTGCAGTAGAGGGCTAATTTTTCAAACATCAGCCTTTGACTCTCATTCAGAATTAACCTGCAATCAAGCACATTGTGATATGTCTCAAAAAAACAAAAACATTTCTTATTGGTGAGAACAAACACAATTTTAATTGCTCTACAAATATAGACTCAGCTGATTCCTGTACATACTGGGGATTATTTATCGTTATTGCGGTTCTGCAAAATGACAATCTTTTTATTTGTTCCACACAGGTACATGTACTAATGCAGCACTTCTACTATAAGAAAATACCATTTTTTTAACCAATCAAAAGAATATTCTTTAAACCGAGGGATATGTAATTTTTATTGCAGATAGCAATTCCTTTGTTGTTTATTATAGGAATGTTGGCAGTTATAGTCCACTATTGACCAGATATTTTGTGTCAGATCAGATACCCTGTTTTATCATTCATCAACTAGCTACTTTGATTGTTTTTTAAAAAAAGTAGCATGTGGGAATGTATGCCTGTATGGTAACAATGAATAGCAACTGCCACAATAAACTATGGAGAGTAGCCTTCTTTAATCTGAGCAGTCTCAGTTCCCAGAATGCACAGCAATGGCCACAGTCTATGCGAATTTTGGGAACTGAGGTTGACACATCTAAAGGGTGCCCAGCTGGGGAAGGCCATTACAGACAAATATTGGTTGTGTATTTTTAAACAAGTGCCTGCTGTTTTTAGGCTCAGATGGTCAGAGAAAGGGGTGGATGGGTATTTATTGATTTTTACATGCTGCTGGGGGAGGGGGGAGAGAATGAATGTTCAATCTAGGAACATTAATTTACCATTATTATTTTGCAATTATATTGTTTCAAGTTCTTAAACTCTATTACAGCCTATCTTAAACATTTATATATATAAAAAAAGACTAAAGAAGCAGTGGGAAAGCAGAAACAAGGAATGGGAGATAACATTGTATGAATTGCCCCTCAAAAGGAAAATCTTTTTAATAAAATGTTCTCCTGGAAGCAAGTACTGTTCTCTAAGATTAGACCACGCAGTTTATCTGTTAAGAAGTGTGTAGAGAGCAGAAAGGAGAGTGGAGAACAATTTTTGAGAGGTGTTGGCTCATTATACGTCTTCAGAAGATACAGAAGTAATAACCAGACTAACAAGGACAAAGCTACCCTACTGATCTCCTCTCTTTACACACACACACACACACACACACACACACACAAACACACACCTATCCAAGTTTAGGGAACTGGAAATGCTCACCTGTAGATGAGGCTGATGCCGAAGTAAAGTGATACGAAGATTAATAACTCACAATAGAGGAGCTTGTAAATGCTGCCTTTCCATTGTAGCAGAAGCTGTGAGAAGGTGCCCAGGCGAGCATCAGCTACACGGTATGTGTAGGTCACTGTCATCACAGGGCCTGCTAGAAACAAACAGCAGTGTGGCAAGAATTAGACAAGAGGGAAGACCCATAGAAAAACTATCACCAACCCAAACAATTCACAGTGAACTCAAGAATAAAACAAACAGAGTCCATCATACATAAATATATCTTCAAGTACACTATTTCAATTAATGGTCAATGCAAACTTCGGGCTAAGTCAAGCTCAATTCTTCCTGATATACCATGCATTGTAGAAATCTTATATCCAGCGTGGGCAGCCTTAATCCTGGTCTAACTGCATATAGCTCCCAATTTACTTCCAAAAGTCATCTGCAAGTGATCAAGCAAGGGTTCTGGTCAGAGCAAACTAGGACAGGGCTTTTCAACCAGTGGTATGGGTACATACATTGGCACCTAGCAGGTGGTACGTGACCATCCTAGAAAAGTGGTAGCGGGGGAGAGGAATGAGGTGAACCGGTAGCAGCACTGTACAAGCCTGAGCGAGAGATGGCTGGAGCTGCAGGGGTGTCTGGGCTCAGCGGAAGCACCAGGATCAGCGCCAAGCTCCAGCTGGAGCTCGGTGCTGATCCTGGTGCTTCTGCTAAGCCCTGAAGAAGTACCATTCAGCTGGAAAGCAGCACTGATCCTGGCGCTTCTGCTGAGCCCAGAAGAAGCGCCGATCAGCTGGAAGGTTGCAGCATCTCCAGGGTCTTGTGATTTACATTCAGATGCTTGGCAACTGATTCATATTTATGATGGTCACAGTGTCCCAGGGTCATGTGAAGTGACCAAAACCTGCTGCAACCACCCAGCAGACGGGGGGAATAAAAAACAAACACCCCCACCCCATCCCCATTGCCAATCCTCAACAGAAATGCTCACAACAATGAAAACCTCGGACAGCAGGAAGAATGCGGCCGCGCAGGCAGGCAGGTGTCTTGCTCTGCTATGGCTTGGGGAGCACTTTTTTCAGTGCCATTGTAACTTCGAACAGTCACTAAGCGAACTGTTGTAAGTCAAGGACTACCTGTACTTCATCACTTTTTTCCTTTTCTTTTGGTCATCAAGTTTTTGACACCTTGCTAGGCGACTGGTGGTACTCGGATGTTGCCATATCCTAAAAGTGGTACAATGGGTGAAAAGGTTGAAAAGCCCTGAACTAGGAAACCTCTGGACAAAATGAGGGGAAAAGAGAAGGTGGGGAGGGGGAGAGGAAGACTAGCTCTATATCTCCTTATATTATAAAGTACATTCCAGAAAATGAAAAAAAACCCCTGATGATAAAGATACATAAACAGTATTTTAAAGTAATTACAAACCAATTAGCCCATGCACCAGCCCATGGTATTTTTATGCTATTTCAGAAACCAAAAATGGTGTTCAGAATTTCACGGAGGGAAAGGCAGACAAACATGACAACTGCCAAAACATTTCTTTGCAGACAAAGAAGGAACTTAAAAATTAATTCTGAGGTAGTAATTTTGCAGTAAATAATAAAAAAGAGGTAACACTACAGAGAAGCTTCTCCAAATTGGGGCATAATTGAAGCACAGAAATAAAAAAAAAAAGGTAATGCAGAAAAAGTCATTTATTAGGCAGTACCATGACTCTGGTTGGAACTGCTGCCCAGGAAAAAGTTTACAGATTTAAAAGGAAGATTAAAGCATGTTGATCCCCCAAATGGCCTTTTCCACATTGCCCCAAGCAATCAGCAACACCGCTTTGAAGTACTGTTTTTGGCTAACAATGACTGGAATGGGTGATTCTGTCCACTCTGTGCCGCAGAGTGCAAAAATAAAATATGAGATGGGAGAGAATTTCTACACTGTGTCCTTGTCTCAATACTTGACCTCATTTTTTCCCTTGGTTATGCAAGTGTCATAATTTTCCTTTGAGGCAGTTCTCCTGGCTCAATTGCAGCATGCCTGGAGTTTCTCAACATGATGGATTACATGCTTTTCATAAAGTTCTAATGTTTATACTGTGTTTCATCCTAAAGTTTGATGAAGGTATATGATGAACCCCACCCCCCGAAATATTCAATGATATATTATATATAAATGGGGAAAAACTGGAGCAAGTAAATGGATCTGTATGCCTTGGTAAAATGTTTATTAAAGATGGGAGTGTTTGTTTGTTTATTTATTTATTTATTTACCGCAAAGTTCTTAACTGCTCACCTTCCCTTATATATAACATTTATATATTGCTTGAAATGGAAAAGGCTCTTGGATAGAACATTTTAAGAAGTGCTAGGGGTTAATATGTGATCTGCTGTTGTAAAGAATATATGTTTGTCAAAAGTGAAACGGGTTGTGTATCAAAGTGCTTTTGAAAGTGTATATTGTTATCTGGAAGCAAAAGCTGGATATGTCAGGAAAATATATAAGTTAATTGAATGCTGCAGGAATGGGTTATGTACAATGTGTGTATGTGATAAAAGAAGAAGGAATAGTGTCAAGAATGAATGGATGCTGAACAGAAAAGTGAGTTATTTGTGCCTATATGAAGGAGGAACAAGAATCAAATTTTAAAACAAATATATTAAAGAAGAATGAAAGGGTGAAGAGGAAAGAAAAGACTTACTAAAACAACTTACTTATTAAGTTGTTAGATGGAGTTAATGAACTCCTGAAAAAAGAAGCTCAAATTTAAAAAAGAGGCAATGTACAAATCAGTATATGAGCATGGCTAAGAAAGAATGGCAATAAAATGATAAGGAGAAGTATAATGAAAGTTTTTTTTTAAAAAAAAATTCACATAAGTAAAAAATAAATAGGAAATTATATAGAATGAAATTAAGAAAGAAAAAGAAAAAAAAGAAGTAGAAAAAATATTACAGGTACTGGTAGAAAAAAAGAAAGATATATAGGTAGGTACTATATAGAATATATATATATATATATATATATATATATATATATATATATATATATATATATATATATATATATATATATTCAAGAATATTGGTAAAAATATAACTCCCGGGCATAATTATAAATAAAAGAATAAAACACGATCACCGGGAGAGTTGAAGTAAAAATACTTTACTAAAAATATATTAATACTAAAAAGTTGCCAAGCTTTCGCTGGGGGAACTCCCCAGCATCATCAGGGCTAAAAGGCCATTACAGTAAAGGTGGTTTAAGTAGGTTCAAGTAATGTTTGCGCACGGCTCTTAGACCGTGTTACTGGCCCTGATTGGCCAGCTGAAAGCCAAGATGTGTCTATAACATTATGTTCTTTTCTTCGGATGCCCTTCCCTATCCCTCCACTATTGGTCTTTAGAGGCGTTAGTAACCTTACATCCCCTCCTCTTCCGATAATACCAACGTCTGCCGTGTCGGGGGGGGGGAGGACTTGATCTGATGCTTTCCTGTGTTTTACAATGGGGATAGGGCTCCACTAACTGTGGGTTAATATCCCTTCCCAATTGTGTATCTCTCTCCTTTGTCATGTTAACAGCTCCTATCCGGGTATGGTATGCCTCAACAATCTTTATTCCCCACCTCAGTCTTCCTTACATACGTTCCCTCCCGTTGTTTGGCACTCAAACCGCTCTCATTACTCCTCCCCTTGCTGATCGAGCGGGTTGTCATTCTATGCTTTCTCTCCCCTCTCCACATGGGACGCTCCTCTTCATTGCTATGGGCAACCGCACACTCCGAGATTTTAGCACTAAGTCTTCTAGGTGTTCCGGCTCCATTAATATCGCTCCCTCCCTCCTGGGGGTGTGTGAGGCTCACATGGGGTTGTTGGGCGGTGCATGGATCGTCCATATCGGGCACCCCCTCCCTTTCTTTCTCCGTGCGCGGGGAGTCCATAGCCTCTATTCCAGCATCCACATGTTGAGGTGGGAGACTCTCTCGCTGCACGATCCAGCGCCGGTCACCTGGCAAGGGGATGTTGATGGTATAGTTATTTACGTCCATATGCAGGTGTTTCCGACGGCGGGGGGATGCGGGTTCCTGTCCATAACGCTGTAGGTGTTGGTATGATTGCTTGCGATGTAATGAATGATGATTTGTGTCCCATTTCCGCAGCGCTTGTTGCGCTGGATGCAAGTCAATGCGACGATTAATTGAGCTGTCATTCGAGAACCAGGCCTCTTTCAGTAGCCGGCCTCCCTTCGTGGCATCACTAGCTACGATACAGGTATTAGCAAAGTCAAATTGATGGCCCTCCTGCGCCATATGCATCCAAAGTTGTGAACGCTGCTCGCCCCGTTTTATAGCCAACTGGTGTTCATGGAGACGAGTCTTCAGGCGTTTGGCTGTTTCCCCTACATAGTTGCCTTGGCAATTCTTACAGTTGATCTTATAGACAACAGATGATTTCTCCATGGGAGGTAGGGGGTCCTTTGGGCGCATGATTTTAGACCGTAGAGTTTGATTTGGCTTGTGAGCCACCTCTATCCCATGGGGGGCCAGCAGTCTGGCCGTGGTCTCTGAGATATTGTTAATATATGGGAGGGAGATGCGTGTTCTCTGTAAGGGAGGTTCTTCTCTATGTTGGTTAACCTGGAGATGGGTTGTTACGCTATGCCGTCTGATGAATCTTAATGGATAACCGTTATAACGGCATATGCGAAAGAGGTGTCTCCTCTCCTCATTCTTATACTCATCCGTACTGCAGTGGGAGTCAACACGCTTAAATAACATTTTAATGCAGCTGATTTTATGGGAAACTGGATGATTACTCTGATAATGGAGGATCCTGTCCGTGTGAGTTGGCTTACGGAACACTTTTGTATGTAAGGATCCATCCAATTGGCGATGGATAGATACATCCAAGAAGGCAAGGGTGTTATGTTTTTCTTCCTCTACAGTAAATTTTATATCAGAGTAGATGGAATTCAATATTCCCATAAATGCAGCCACATGTTGTCTTTTGACAACAGCGAACGTGTCGTCCACATACCTCACCCAAAACTTGGGTTGGTATAAAGCCATAGCCTTATGTTCAAGTTGCTGGAGGACCACCTCAGCCACAATACTGGAGATGGGGGAGCCCATCGGAGTGCCCTTGATCTGTTC